GAAAGGCCTTTCATTTAAACGTGGGCTTGCAGAACTGGCTGAAATATTTCTCCCAGATTCAGACCCACACAGAAGGACCATTGTCTTCCACCCAGTGCCTCGGTATGATGTCATAACCCTGGTCTCTCTGAGTAAGAAGCTTTGATTTATAGCCAGGGCTGCTGCCAACGCGAGGTTCTCAGAATTTCGTATTAAATTAGATGACATAATGACATGATTCCAGAATCTAAGAAGGCATCGTCAAACCATTGAAAACCAATTAGCACAGATTAAGTTGCTTATCAGACTAGTTTAGAGCTGTGAGCTCTGTCATATTTTAATATTCAAAATCAGGGACTATTTAAAATCGTCTTGTCAGCTGACCTAATGTGTTGTGAATTAACAAGCGTTTACAAATTCACCATACGAACCAAATTGCATTCACTTTTTCCTTTTTATGGCAAGGGCCTTATCCATCAGCAGAGTATGGTCTTTTAAACGAGCAACATTATTTTTGAGTCTGATTGTATGTAAAAACTGCATCATCTTTTCTGTTTACAATTTCACAAATTCTGGCTTCATTGATGCAATTTATTGCTGGTGAATCTCAGTGTATGGCAAATTCAGTCGCAATTTTTCATTCTAGCCAGCTGACAGTCTGTGAGACTGGGTGTTATGTCAGCACCATAGAGCAGCTTTGAGGCAGAATGCTTGTTGCCATTTGATACGGCTCTGCTGAATTTAAGAAATAGTCCAGTTTCTGCTAGAAGTGCTTGCGGATTCTGAAGAGCTGTATGGCTTTTCAGTTAGTTGCCAGTCCAGGCCTGCTGTGTGACTAGGTGTGTCTTTTAGCTGGCAGGTTTTAACCAAGTCATTTAAGATTTGAAATATTTGAGCTAGAAGTTAGTCAGGCTAATACTGTTCTCTGTTAAATATTAATTCTGAGAAAATCAACTGTACTCCCTGTATCATGTCGCATCTCCCTGTGTGAAATATTCACTAGTGCAAGTGAGTGAGGGTGGAAATAGACATGTGTTGTGGCAGCTAGCTTACCATGCCTCTGCAGGGATGTATTTGAGACTGAAACCCCTTTTTCTAGCTCAGTTCTGTAAAGATTTGCAGTTAATCAAGCATGAGTCAATAGGTAAGTGGTAACGCTAGTACGTGGCTGGCCGGTGATCAGCCCTGGCTGCTCTGGAGGAACCCACTGGGTTCTTGCCTAGGAGAAAATGGTCACAGTGGGCACGTAAGGTTTGTGTCCTCAGCTGCTCGAAATCAGCTGCAGCTGCTCACCCCAGCTGAAGGTCACAGCCCCCCAAAAGTCAGTGAGATAGTGGGTAGGGTGTGCTAGGAACCGGTAGCCTTATTACATACAAGTATTTTAACTTGTTTGAATAACGCCATAGACACCGTGATGGTAAGTGGGTAGCCAGTGCGTACAGGTACAGGGTGTTCCTCCATTGGTTTTGGAAGGTGTGCCTTGGAGTACCCACAGCTCCTGTCTTGGGCCCTCTGCAGTACTTTGCAAAGTGGAAGTAAATGGTTGCCCTTTTAAGGAAAGAATATAAGGTGATTTACACCACCTTTTGACACATTCAAAGTATTTTCCGAATGACCAGGAGATCAGACCCACAGCTTGTTTGAGCTGACTTTGGAAGTACAAATACTGGCAAAATTTTTGGCCTTTGTTACCCCATTTGGTGAAGTTACCTAGGCTGGGGAGAAGCAGATTTAGAATAGAGTGTCATAAACAAACTATTAACTGGTGTTAATGTAGCAATTTGTGGTATATCAGTCCTCCACAAGTCAAGTAATATGGTTATACATGTAAAATATGAAAATCGAGGTCTAGCCAGAAAGGGAAGTGTTAATGTCTTGACATGTTCAACTTTGTAGGTCTGATTCCACATCATCTGGGTCATTAGTAATGGTTTCTCGGGGGG